ATTAACATTACGAAGAATATGTATTGTAATGATTGTATAAGTACATTAGTATAACAATCGTGTGTGCATGATGTAAGAATTGTTTAGTCAGTGATAAGATCGTAGGATAAAATTGTATTATAACAATGACCGCCTGGAACATGTATAACAATAATCGGTACATTGTTGATATAAAGGACAGTGCCGTACACAACTTCTAAAAGCAGAGAGAAAAACATAACGACTCGAGGAAGGAGTTATGACAACCGTAAATCAAACCATAATCATTGCATCCACCACCCGTCTTCTAACCCACTCAACTGATCCTCACGATCGCCCAACACCCCCCCCCGTCTATGACTCTTTTCTCCCTGTTCTCCTCATCCGTATGCCGCGCCAACAAGAACGCAGACCAAACACCAACAGAACAAAAACAACACACAACCAACAATAACAACTCGTGCCGACGATAGGACACATCCGCCCCTCCGATAACAGACAAACTACACAGAGTTGTATATACAACTCTGCGGGGTCAGGCAAGGAGCATAACACGACTCTCTTGCATAAAGGGTGGAGGCGCAAAGACGCGTGCACATCAACAGAGTCAGGTGCCGGTGTTGCCACGAGAGCATTGGGTTTGTCCAAGATCTTGCAGCCGAGTCCTTTAATGTGCACGCACGCAATGCCGTGCTAAATACAACGCGGCGTGTAACCGTGACCGGCCTGAGTTACGAATAGGTCCCGACGTGAGCTGTTATCTGCCGTGCACAGATGCATATGACGCATGCGGCATGTGTATGTGCGACATAACAGTGATGTACGTGCGCGCACAGTGATGATATGTGCGGGTACGCAGTGTATGTGCAACGCACGCTTGTATGTGCACGCAGCCGCGATGTACGTGCAGAAGATGCGATGTACGTCGCACGCATGGTGTACAGCACGCAATCGTGTATGGCGCACGCATGCGGTGTATGCGCACTCTGCGTGTACGCGCACGTGGAGTACTTCACACGCGTGGATGCGTGTGGACGTGCACGCACCGAAGTGTACCGCCGCACGCGTGTACGTGGTGTGATCTTGGATAATAAGGAAGTGGGTTAGGGTTAGGTATATATATATAGGGTTAGGGATATATTATATACCCTCACCACTATAACCCTACCCTAACCACACACACACCAGCGTACACAGCAGTGCGTGATAGGGTATATATATCATAATTATAATATAATAGCGTTAGGTATATATATATATATATATATATATACCCTTACCCTATATCCAACGCCCACACGCGTACGATTCGCGGTCGACACGCTGACCGCTCGTCGAGCGCGCCAACTCGCAGTCGTCAAGTGTAAACGCGTGCACACAGTCAAGAACGGATTGATAGAGCATCACGGTGCGGAGAGTGAGAGATGCAGCGGTGTCAGCTGGTGGGTCACTAGTATAAGGTTACAGACGGCTGCGGTCAGCACCCTCCACTGACTCAGCAGTGCCGGACGTGGGTTGGCAGCCAGCTTACGATCTCGATCCGCGTCCGCCACCCACCACCCCCCCGCTCTCTCTCTCTCTCTTCTCTGCTCTCTCTCTCTCTCTCCTCGCTCTCTCGCTCTTCCTCTCTCTCTCTCCTCTCGCTCTCTCTCTCTCTTCTCTCTCTCTCTCTCTATCCTTATCTCTCTCTCTCTCTTAGCCTCTCCTCTCTCTCTCTCTCTTCTAGCTCTCTCCTCTCTCTTTCTCTCTCTCTCTCCTCTCTCCTCTCTCGCTCTCTCTCTCTATCTCTCTCTCTCTGCTCCTCTCTCTCCTTCTCTCCCCCCCACCTCTCTCTCTCTGCTCTCCTTCTCTCTCATCTCTCTCTCTCTCTCTCTCTCTCTCTCTTCTCTCTCTCTCCTGCTCTATCTCTCCTCTCTTGCTCTCTCTCTCTCTCTCGTTCTTCCCTCCACCTCTCTCGTCTCTCTCGCTCTCCCTCTCTCTCTCTCTCCTCTCTCTTCTCTCTCCTGCTCTCTCTCTCTCCTCTCTTCTCTCTTTCTCTGCTATCTCTATCTCGCTCTCTGCCCTCCACTCTCTCTCTGCTCTCGCTCTCCCTCTGCCTCTCTCTCTCGGCTTCCCTCTCTCTCTCTCTCTCTCTCTCTCTCTCTCTCTCTCTCTGCTTATCTCTCACTCTATCTCCTTGCTCTCTTCTCTCTCTCTCTCGTCTCTCTCTCCTCTCTCTCTCTCTCTCTCCCTCCCACCCTCTCTCTCTCTCTCGCCTCTCTCTCCTCTCTCTCTCTCTCTCTCTCTCTCTGCTATCTCTATCTCTCTCTCTTGCTCTCTCTCTCTCTCCCCCACCTCCTCTCTCGCTTCCTTCTGCTCTCTCTTCTCCTCTCTCTCTCTCTCTATCTCTCTCTCTCTCTGCCTCTCCTACTATCTCTCTCTCTCCCCTTCTTTTCCTCTTCGCTCTCCTCTCTCTCTGCTCTCTCTCCTCTCTCTCTCTCTTCTCTCTCTCTATCTCTCTCTGCTCTCTTGCTCTCTCTCGCTCTGCTCTCTCTCTGCTCGCCTCCCACCTCTCTCTCCTCTCTCTCCGCTCTCTCTCTCTCTCTTCTCTTCTCTCTCTCTCTCTCTCGTATCTCTCTCTCTTGCTCGCCTCTCTATCTCTCTCCTCTCACCTAACGTTAAGCAGTAATCTACTACAAGAAATCAACGGAGGTTAACATCACGCAAGATTCTATGAAACATTCATGTCTGCAGTTGGCGTAGCCAGCAATTGGAAACAGGGGGCAGGCGAGGCGAGCGAAGCGACCGGGGGATAGGGTGTGGAGGGTATCCCCCCCCCCACGGTTAGGGAGATTTCTTGAAAATTCGTGCATGAAAATGGCATTTTCTGAACACGAAAATTCAGTATTAGGGGTTAACTTATATCAGAGTGCATATGCTAATCCCTTCATTACCCCCCTCCTCGTTTTGTATTTTTTCCACTCCGATTCCGATAACGGAGGACGAGACCCTTGGACGAGCAGAAGGGAGAGAGTGACGAAGAGAATCATGCCTGGGCATTGTAGAACGAAGTTTGAGACTTTCTCATTTAGAGAATGTTCGTCAGCAGATGCAGAAAGTAACAGGAATTGTGGCCAGCCTGTGAAGACGCGGTGAGAGGCAAGGGAAAATATTTTTTTTGTTTTGTTTGCCAATCAACAGGGGGGGCATTGCCCCCTTGTGCGCCCCCCCCTTAGCTACCCAGTGCTCACACGATGCTGCCGTTGTTGCTACTAGCAGAAATATACCCGTAGAACCAGCCAAATCGTGTCTTTAATAGAAACTCCATTAAAGTGACACAGCATTAAAGTTAAATTTCATGTACTGAAAAGAAACCACTTCACTGGGCTCAACAGAACACTGGACAGCCACTGGCACATGACTACTGTGTCAGTACGGTCTGTACGTCAAAGCAGAGTGAGCAGGGGGGGAATCTGCAGTAGGGGGGGAGATCTGAGACGTTGCACCATCTAATTGGAGAAAGATTTTTGTTTGAGCCAGAACCATCTCCCAGATGTGGTGATTCTTATATGTCTCACACGCGGCGCCAGTCAAGAGACGTAGTTTGTAAAACTCCCACGTATTGATTGTGAATCTGCTGTACGCACTGCCATCTATTGACGAATAGCATTTTTTTGAAGTTTTGACTTAATACTGAATACTTAACTTTTTTAAATTTTTTCTCAGCCAGAAACCATCTCCCAGACGTGTGATTCTGATATATCTTCAGTAGCCGATGAGTGACAAATCAGGGGCCGAAAAGCGGGAAAACACAACAACACACACACACACACAAGATGAGCCAAGATATTAGTATAGATTCAGTAGTTATTGTGTATACCCCCGTCACACCGACGGCGACCATCCGCGACCATCCCGACCGTACGGCGACCAAAAATGTACAAAGGCCGACAAACGCGAACCACCACGCGTTCTTTCGCGCCGTTCCACGGGGTAGAATCGCCGAACCTTGGCGTTTGTTTTGAACCATGCTGCAAATCAAAACGCCGCTGACTCCGGGCGTCATTGGCGATCAATTGCGCGATCATTGGCGGACCACGGCGACCACACCACATGTCTGGACGCTACCACACGCTTTATACCGCTTATGGCGACCTTGGCGCGCTCGGGCCCATGTTCAGCAGCGAGTAAGGACGCCACCCGGTGTGACGGGGGTTTTAGGTGCTTGTGATTCTTCATCGGGCAGCGCGGGCAGCCTGCACAACAAAATGCCAGAATGTTTCGCGAGATATTTCGCCTCCATGTGCATTCTATACGAGTATTAGAAAAGTGTAGTGGATTCTCCAAAGACGTCCTAATAGGGATAACTAGAACTTCCTCAACAAGACGCGTCTCTTTTAGTAATATGGCTTAACACACAGCGCAACGCACGCCACGCACACACGCACGCGCTCATGCCACGCACGCTCACGCACGACGCACGCACGCACGCACGCACGGCACGCACGCACGCACGCACGACGCACACACACACACACACACATACACACACATATAATTATATATATATATATATAATATATATATATATATATATATATATATATATATACATGTCTCGCCCTCGTCGTTCGTTACGTCGGGCCCTCTTGTCATGGCACCCCTTATCGCGGTGAACGGATCAACGAATTAACGGCAAGAGCTATCAATATCTCGGTGCATCCCTACGCGCCCGGGCATTCTACCTAGTTCTACGAAGGTTGTTCAAGTTCGGCCCATGTAAGTCTCCACACAAACGCCGTATCGTCACGTATGACACAAACGTACCGCTTCTTTACCAACGCATTTCCATTAGGCCATTGCGCACTCCTCGCTGTGTATGTACTGACTCCACGTGCTTACTGATCCACTATGGCTCGTAAAAAACATGATAGGTTCGTGAGGTTGGCAGCACCGTGCTCGCTATCGCACTTACAGCAGTAATAACGCTTACAACTTTGATAAAACGAAAGGCAGCTAAAGTTATAATAATTATTCTTCAGGTGTGTATTCGAGATTATCGTTCGCGGAGCAACCCCAGGATGAGGTCATTATTCGATCAGGGGAGGAGGATATACTTACCTGTGTCGTGAATGATGACGGAATAGAACCAAAGGTAAGCTGTGAATAAATTATGATCGTGTTCGATTGCTATATCAAGTGACATAGCTTATTATAAGACAGAGCCTGTGCGTTCCACCCGCCTGCGCAGCGCTTCGTGATGTATTCAGTATTGGTATTCTAGATATGGTATGTCTCCAATGAAGAATAGTGCCCAGTAAAAATGGAAGTGTCCTTGCCTCGTTCACGCGTAAAGATGATTCACGATGACTCACCAAGCTGGTGATGGCTTTGTCGGTTCTCATGTACTTTTCCTTTTCACTGGCAGTCTCTGGTAAAGTGGGTAGTGATCGTCGATGAGGCTGCCAAAGAGATTTATCCGGGAAACCCTCCTTTCGAGAGATACACGTATGTTGATGAGAACCACAACGGCGGAAACTACAATTTACGAATAGCAAACGCCTCGCCAGAGGACAACGCCGCGTTCAGATGCGCATTGGATCACGGTTCGACAGAAGAGGAATATGAATATTCAAACACTGCAAAAGTCTTCGTTGCAGGTAAACGGGAATGCTATATCACTATACCCGCGCCATGGGACCCATGCACTAGGCCTAATTGTAATTCTGGGGAATTATTCAGCGGTTCGAGTAAAATCGCCTGCACGCAAGCAATTCTACGGGTTTTGGTTATCTTTCTCAGTTGTCCAGAGAGACATGATACAAGATTGCGTGGCACAGCTTTGCTGTTGATCCTAAGCGCTGCGCGCGGATGAGACGCGAAATTCCCCGGAATATGCGCACGCGACCGCGGGGATGTTCAAGTATGAAGCGCTGTCCGCAGTGGAGACGTGCGCCAAATTCGAGGCCCGGCGCACGTCTCCACAGCGCTCAGCGGATGGTCTGTAGTTTTAGAAGATGACAATGATTATATATGGACGATATTCTAGGAATTGGAGATTATAAAACAGTAACAAAAATCGCTCAGGCATGCTCCAGATTAGCTGAATCAAAAAGATTAGAATTTAATATGAACAAAACAAATACAATGATTATAAAATTCACAAACAAAGAAAGGATAGAGAAGGAGATATTAATAGGCAACCAACTAATAAAAAAATGCACCAAATATTTATACTTAGGGGATTTAATTAATGATATAGGAGGTTATAACGATATGATAAGAGTCCGAACTGAAAAATGTAGGTTTATGATGATGGAAATATGATCATGGGCAGAAGAGCAAAATTATGGAAATCATACTATAGAAGTAAGAGTGAACTTATACGAATGCAGTTTTACCTCCCTTCCTAAATAACAGTGAAACATGGACTAACTTAACTAGGGAAGAAGGTAAAACTGTGGCGGATTTCCAAAAGAAGAGGCCTGCGCCAATAATAATAATCACGCAGAAAACCTACAAAAAGGCATTGGAAAGACGATGAAATTCTAAGGAAAGATACGGCAGAGGATCAGCCTAAAAATGAACACTAAGTTTCTATACGTAAATCGTGGTAAAAATAAGTAAAAACGCATTATTTTATTAAAAATTCCGCATTATTTAGCGTATAAAACATCCAAGAGATAGCGCTGTGCCATCGGTAAACATTAGCTCCGTTGCTTCGAACATTGGTGTGTGTTTTATGAATTGTTAATAGATGACGCCACTCGTTCACTTCCGACAGCGCAAGTGAAATGCAGAACATTTTCGTTGTTCGAATGCGAAATGCATCGGCCGGGCCATTTCATTATATACGAAAAGCAAACAGTCTGCGCGAAACGCACCTACCGCAGTAACGGGTCCACGTCTCGTTTGACGCCGCCATTCATGCCCATCAAGCGAAGAAGGCCGAGGGCTTATTCTTTATTACGGCGAGATGCGCAAATAAATGCAACAACAGTACGTACGGTGCGAGTCTGCGTAGTGCCGCCTAAACGTCGTCTGTTATTTTCTTTTTGCGTGACAAACTCCTTCGCAGAAACCGTTTCCTAGCCTAGGGCAGATAGCCTAGTTTCCTGAGATCGGCGATTCATGCCTCGGAATAGTATGTACCTAAAAGTTAGAAGATAAGCGAGTGCGGACGTAGACTCGTGATTGCGAAGACACAAACAGTGTCAACTCCTTCCGGCAACGCCTCGGTATGATGGCCGCATCACGTCCAGCCAGTATGCCAGCCGTCTTATTAGTTGTTTTAGGAACCAATACAGATAGGTACGATAAATGAGATGTGATCAACGAAGCCGATCGACCTTGGCGTGCCTATCTGAAGTGGACACATGACGAGTCGACGATCGGCTCTCTAGAGGCTAGGCTAGTATCAGTACAAATCTATACATCGTCTTATAATATCGATTCAGGCTTTAAGTCAATACTACTTCTACGATATTGGGCAGTGCCGCGACCCTTGTACTACTTTATGGCCAGCAATGCCAATACGGAGTTAGAGGCAACAATGGCGGCAGTGTTGTGAAGACAGAGCCGGGCTTGCATAACGCTATTACGTCGCTGATGGAAACCGGCCCTGTGACGGTGACTGCGGTATCGTGGCGAGTGCGGGTGCTGAGGTGCAGTCGTCTCGAACTAAATACTTTACGGCGTTCTGGCTAGAAAACAACGTTCAGCCTACAGCTTAGTTAAAACCGTGAGACGGACTGTATGAACATGGACGGGGGCCGTATCGAACGATGGACGAGGCGGTGTGGATGGATGGATGGTATGGAATGATGGACTGGATACGGAGGATCTGGATGGATGGACTGGATTGATGGATGGATGTGGTTGATGGATGGAGGATGGATGGCATGCGCTGGATGGTGGATGGATGGATGGATGGATGGCATGCGCATGGCTTGGATTGGATATGGGATGGTAGGATGGATGGATGGATGGACATGGATGTATGGGATAGGATGGATAGCATGAATACATGGATGGCATGGATGGATGGATGGCGAGGATGGATAGTGCATGGTAGATGGATAGTATGGATTGCAGTGGACGCGGAGACGGACGGGCAAGGCGGCGGAGTACGCGGGCGTGCGGGCGGCTGAGGACGGGCGCGGGCGTGCGGGCGGCGCGGATGGATGGACATGGATGCGAAGTTCGCGTCGCGGTTAATTGGATGGCAATAGGCATGGCATGATGGATGGTGATGGCGCATTGGTTCTTATGGATCGTATGCAGATGGGCAGGGATGGCATTAGATGGATGCGAGCGATGGAGGGATGCCTATGGGCGTTGATGTGATGCGCTGGTGGCATGGCGCATGGAGATGGGATGGTCATGGCATGATGCATGCATGCATGGATGCATGCGATGCATGGATGCATGGGGATGAGAGTGGATGCGGGTGTATGTGATGGATGGCTCTCTCCTCATTGGTCATGGTTACTGGCAATGGATGGATGGCTCATTGGGATGGATGGCACTGGCATGGGATGGATGGATGGCATGGATGGATGGATGATGGTGGCAGGGATGGATGGCATGGTATGGATGGATGGATGGATGATGCGGATGTTGAATGAACTGGATGTTAGTATGGCATGGATGAATGGGTTATGCGCATGGATGGATGGATGGCATGGATGGGATGGCATGGATGCGATGGGCATGGCCGGATGGTATGGTCATGATGGATGCGGATGATGGTTTCGTCCTGTGGCCATGAGGTCTCTCTTGTTGGTCGGTGTCACCCTCGTGGGATGGAGGATGGATTGGATGATGGCATGGAGGGATTGGAATGGATGGATGGTCATGGCATGGATGGATGCGATGGATGCGATGGCATGATGGCTAGGATGCGATGTCATGGGTATGGATGATGATGCGATGGATGGAATGATGCGATGGATGGATAAATATGGATGTATGGAATGAGATGGATGAGGATGGATGGATGGATGTTGGATGCGATGGATGGATGGCAATGGATGGATGGATGGATGATGATGGGGGGATTGGATGGCATGGATGGAATGCCTCTTGCCAGTGGGTGCGTTGGGTGGGGTGGTCGGCCGTGGGTGGATGGATGGACGGATGCATGGGATGGAGGTATGCCGATGGCGATGGATGATGCAATGGCATTGGATGGATGGATGGATGGATGGATGGATGAGTGATGCGAATGGATGGGATGGATGGATGGATGCTGGATGGGATGGCGATGTGGCGTATGGATGGATCGGAATGGCAGATGCGTCATGGATGGATGGGATGCGATGGATGGGCATGCATGGATGGATTGGCATGGTATGGTAATGGGATGGATGGATGGGATGGATAGCCCACTCCCACCATGGAATAGAATGATGGATGTATCGGATTAGTATGGCCTATGATGTGTACCGGACGGACGGACGCGACGGCCGCGGACGGTGCGCGGCGGCTGCGGGCGCGGCGGAAGCGGCTGCGGTGCGGCCCTCCTGCGGCGTCATGGATGAAGGTATGGTTCCGTGAATGGGAGGGATGCGATAGCTGGAACATGGCATGCGCATGCGATGGATGAGGATGGATGGCATGGATGGCCATGTATGGTTGCGGATGGATGAAGGCGATGGCCAAGATGATGGCTTCATCCCGCATGGCATGGATGGCATGGATGGATGGATGATGGATGGATGGATGGTCATGGATGCGCATGCGCATTAGATGGAGATGGATGGCATCTNACACACACACACACACACACACACACACACACACACACACACACACACGCGTACGCACGCACGCAAGCGCGCGTGCACACACACACACACGCTCGCTCTCGCTCTTTCTCTCTCTACCTCTCCCTCTCGCTCTTTCTTTCTCTCTCTCTCTCTCTCACTCACACACGATGTAACTCTCTATGCGCAAACTGTAGCTTTCCAAGTAAGCGAACTAACCCTTTCGCCATCAGCGTGCCTGTATACAGATCCACCTAAATACACGTTCACGCTCGCAGGGCCGCATTCAGACATGCGCGCATACACGCATGAACGCACACACGCGCACGCGAGCTTCCCCACGCGGATACTCATCAACGTATACGCACGCGTGCACGCGTAAATGCACACGTAAACGCACGCATGCACGCATTTACATCAATAACTTCGATTCTCATCCCCGGCATACAGACTAATGTACCCTATCACCTATAGCGCGGGCTAAACACATACACGAACATCGTACATGCGTCGTACCCATAGAAATAATATAGATAGACTAGAACGCCAATTTGCCGATAGCTCTGTACTTAACATCAAGAGCGTATTAAGTATGCTTTATGCATAATAAGCTTAACCATACTTAATACGCTCTTGTTAATGACATAGTGTCTCTATATATTTCTATGGTGGTACCTCACGTAAGAATGTCATTACTCCTTTGTCCGATGCGCGATCACTCATGCTCGCGTCAACAGAATCCGCTTGCCTCGGGAAATGCTAATGATCTCGACAGTAAATTAATGAAGATATTTAATTGACGCGAGTAATTTGGTGACAAAACGTCGGAAGTGCGGCAGACGCCCTTGATGTTCGAATTTGATTTTGCTAATTAAATGTATAAATTGAAAGATTGAACTAATGCATCGATGCAAATCACAATTTCCGCTTACAGAAAACTTATTCAAATGAAAGCCTTATAATTCGTGTGTGTGTGTGTGTGTGTGTGTGTGTGTTGTGTGTGTGTGTGTGTGTGTGTGTGTGTGTGTGTGTGTGTGTGTGTGTGTGTGTGTGTGTGTGT